TTGACTGCTTTTCCTGGCTGGCCTAAGCAGCACTACCAGTCAGCTGGATGGGATCTTTGCTCTATGCAGGTCGAGACTGTGAGTAGGCAAAGATGAAGTATCCTGTGAGTCTTGATCATCTCAGGCAGCAGTCTTGAACCTGTGGACTTGATTATAACACTAAACTTTCTTTAGGTCCCCATAAGATTATCAGCACCCCCAACCAGCTGGAAGTAGCCTGGAATACTACACCCACATTCCCAAAAAATGGACTATGGGTATTTTCTTTGTTTAAAAAAAAAAAAGAGGGGGAAGTGGTGTGGGAGAATTGTCTGTAATCTGTCAGTCATGTTTTAAATAAAACACTGATTGGCTAGGCAGGAAGTATAGGTGGGAAAACCAGACAAGAAGTAGAGGTGATGCAAAATGAGAACAGGAGAATTCTGGGAAGGAGGAAGCTGATTCCTTCCAGTCCTGCACAGATCACTGAGGAAGCAGGATGTGACCTGCCAGCTGAAAAAGGTACCGAGCCATATGACTAAAATATATCAGAATAATGGGTTAATATAAGTCATAAGAGCTATAAGAAGCCTGAGATAATGGGCCAATCAGCTTATAACTTGTGGAGACCTCTGTGTGATTTTCTTTGGGGCTAAACAGCTGTGGGAACCGGGCAGGACAGTAAACCCCAACAAGCAGGCCCCTTCATGTTACACTAGGAAGTTGGTATTATTTAGCCTTTAACACCCAGCCAGTTGTTGTAGGGAGCTGCTTGTTTGTCTTGGCCGCCCAGAACTGAAATAATCACACAGAAACTATATTATTTAAAACCCTGCTTGACCCATTAGCTCTAGCTTCTTATTGGCTGACTCTTACATATTAATTTAACCCAGATCCATTAATCTTTGTATGGCCAGCGTATAATGTTGTCAGTATGTGTCCATTTATGGCTTCTGAGCTCTAGGAGAAATTTTTAAATAGTTGCTACTTTCAAGGGATTTGCAGCTTTTTTTGGATGAACACATATGAAACTGTCAAACTAGTAACAGAAAGTCATCAACACAAAAGACATTGCAAGGTAGGGGCTGATTGGTTATTGATTTGAGCCTTGAGCTAAAGGAAAGAACGAGAAGCTGCGTCTGAGGCCTCCCTGCTGGAAGGAAGCTCTCTGTGCTGTCAGAGGACAAGCGGTGAGTTAGGGGAGGCATAAATGTTTATGTGGCAGTCAGCAGTAATTGACGGCCAACATTAGGTCGGATGGAGAAGTTAACGGTCAGCGGACAAGGCCTTCCTGTTACCTGCTCTGTCTCTCTGAGTCACCAACAGTTATATCTCACCAAATCACCGCAGGTAATAATTCTTAAATATGGCAGCATAATGATTCCTTTCATCAACAGATACATTTTCAGACCATTTTAGGGCACAACAACTAATTTCCATTTTATACACACACACACACACACACACATGCACGCACACACAGAAGCACCCACATATATCTTCCTTCTTGAAACATGAAGGACTTGGCAGTTGCCTTTATCAGGACTTTATCTGGATTGGGATGAAGATGCCTCTCCTCACCATCTCATCACCATTTGACAAAATGATTTTTCAGCCTGGATGTGTACCTCACCGGTAGAGTAATTGTCTAGCATGTGCAGAGCCCTGGATTTGATCCCCAACATCACAAAAATAAATGATTAGACATTTTCACGGTGACAGTGGAAAGTGATTATAAGCCATCTCTACTTCCCAGGCATGCCCCGGGCAGAGAGCATCACTCTTACTGCTAGACCTCACAATCCAAGGACCACCACTGCATGCATGGATGGAGAGGAGCCTGGGGGCTTTAAAGGATACGGCTCCTCCAAGGTAGGTCTCATAGACTGATGGGCCTGAGTAACCAGCACCGTGGGGTGGTGGGTAGTTTTCATTCAGCCAATGCCAGCTCCCCTCCATTGCAAAAAAGAAAGAAAGGGATAAGAAGGAAATTTCCAGAAGAAAGAGAATCTTAGTTTAAGTCAGTAGCCTGAGCAGTTTCTAGAGAGTGGGTGCTATAGGGAAGGACTGTGGGGGCCATAGGATGAGTCTGCCTACAACCGCTTCTCTTGAAAGCATCCTCCAACAGCCCTGCCCCACCCCTAGGAAGAAGGAACTGGGGCTGAAACTCTGTTCCTGCTGCTCTCTGAAGCAAATTCGAAGTCGATACTAATTCTCCTGCACAGGCACTGGCCTTGGCTGCTTTATCCATCCTTACATGCCGGTGCCTGATATATGGCGATGCCTATGTTGGCCGGGTGAATGGGTGGATGGATTAGAAGATGCCACACTTCATCAAAGAGTAGAAGAAGCAGTCTGAATATTCAGTTGTCTCTGGAGCTTTGAATAAGCCAGGAGGATTAGCAGAAGACCTGAGCCAAGAGAAGGACTTCCAAGAGCTGAGATCATCCAAACCACTCCCCAACCAGAGCAGTGGAGGTAGCAGGAAGGCCAGGGGGAGAATGCCTTCGAGGTCTGTGGTGTGTGGTTCAGGACACCGGGCAGGTGCAGAGGGAAATGGAAAGATGAAGGATGCTCAGAAACAGAGCTGTCACTGTACCAGCTACCCCACCCAGAGATGAGACAAACAGGGGCAAAGGAGAGCGAGGCACATGGATATCTGAGGCAGGAGGATTGCTCTGAGTTTGTGTCCAATTGGGCTGCCTAACAAATCCTAGGACAGCCAGGAATATATGGCAAGACCTTATCTGAAAAAGAAAAAAGAAGTAGAGAGAGAAAGAAAGAGCAGGACACATGGACCCACCATTTCTAGAATGGTTTTGGTTTGGTTTGGTCTTTATAGGTAGTAAGGCTTTGGTTTTTATTTATAGTAAGCCTTTGGTTTTAACCTCTCACATTTCATCAATCCAGTCTCCTAGAGAACCAGACATTCCAAACTTACAGATGAGAAGCCCTACCTCCCAAGGGCCTGGGATCTCTGATTCCTTGTGGATAGGTACCAAGGCCTGCATGCCCAGAAAACTATGGAGTAGCAACCGAGGCAAAAATGAAAAAAAAAAAAATGCTGGGTTAACATACTGAAAATGCAAGTCTGTATACTACATTCCACCTGTTATTTCTCGTGTCGTTTGCTCCTTTCTTTGTATCCAAGTTTCTTAGAAAGGTGTGTGTGTGTGTGTGTGTGTGTGTGTGTGTGTGTGTGTGTAAATTCCTCGATTCTGACCTCACGAAGGAACTGTGAAGGAGAGAAAGCTAGATCCCTGGGGTAAGGTTTTAGATGTAAGTGGAGTGGATGCCCTCAGAGCAGCAGGACTTGGGGTGGACAGACACCTAGTGCTTCGCACCCAGAAGGGCATGCACTGGTGCATCACAAGCAGGTAGACCCCTGCTAACTCCTAGTGCGGGGTTCCCACAAGCCTGGTTCCCTCCCCAGCGGCACCCAGTGCAGGCCTGCCCACCTGATTCCATAGCGTTTGTTTTCTCAATAAGCCTACGGTATGGTCATTTCACCACGTAGAAAAAAATTCTATCAAGATGCACCTTGCCTTGTGACCTTGGTGTCCTGGGGGAGACAGGCAAGAGGTCTCTCTTTACTACAGGAGGTGGACCTTTCTAAATCATGGAAATTAACACCAACTTGGCTTCCGGCAGTATCATTTAGAGTCGGCCTGATGACATTAAATGTGGGGCAGGCTGCTAATGGCATCTTTCAAGGGGGAAGCCCAGCTGAAGGCTCTGACTTTCTGCTCACACAAGACTCCTAGCCACAGCATCCCTCAGGGACAGAAACACTTAACTGACAAGGCAGGACCAACAGGTTCGGTTGAGTGGGTGTGGCCTTCAAAATCACCACAGAAGAGGTCCCCACTGAGCCCACTAGGAGCAAGGCCATGAGAAAGGCCAGAGTGAAGCAGAAAGACACTTCCAGCTGACCTCTGACCTCTGCTTTTGGAAACTTGCAGCCCAGTGAAGGCAACTAGCTGGCCAGCAGAGGCAGTTTCTCTGGAGAATGCATAGGATGCCGGTTTTGCCAGCCCAGCACACTGCTGAGAAGGACGCCTCCTTAGTGTGCAGGGTCCACTGGTGGCAAGCAAGCAAGCAAGTTGGAGGTGGGGGAGGGGCAGGCAGTCAGCGATTGGGGGCTGGAGAGAGAAAATGGGCAAAAGCTCTCGTTCTCTACCTCTACTCACCCTTAGGCACTATTTTGGGACAGCAGTGCCACTAGGGTGTGTCCAAACAGCCAGAGCCGGACGGAGACGTATTGGGGAGCGCTTTCGGCTTTCTAACGGGCTCACTTCTGGCCACATGCAGTCCAAATCCACATGCGTGTAAACTAAATAAAATCATCCTTCCCTTCCTACGGTGACAGCAGGGTTCTGGTAAAAATGCAGGCACCAGGAAAAGAGACTCTGGCTAAAGAGCTGCCCCCCCACCCCCCCACCCCCCGACACACACAGGCTCGCACCTTGTAAAAGTATGATCGGGTACAATGTGTCTCCTAAATCTGCGTGTCCTCCTTCCCCCAGACGAATCGACTTCTCAGACTCCCTCGAGCTTGGTCGACCCCACCACCACCACCACTATGACCACATCCACGAGTTCCTCCTGTTCTGCCTCCTCTCTTCCCAAAGTAGTGGGAATCAAAGAAAGATGCACTTGGTAGGGAAGATTCCTCTCGCTAAGAAAGGTAGCCTAGCCTGGAGCCTGGAGCCTGGAGCCTGGAGCCGTTGGGTGCCTCCTTGGGGCTCCAAGATTTTCAGCCAAGTTTATAGCTTTTCTCTGCCCTGGCCACCTCGCTTGCGAGTCAGAGACCAAACGTGGCACCTCTCCTTTAGGATGCCCACTTCAGTGGCTTCAGCCACCTGCCAGAAGACCAATCGTGGGAGCACAGCCTGAGATCGGTGGGCACACCCATGGGTCTCAGCCAGTGCTCAGCCCCTGCTCTGCCCACTCCCCCAGCAGGCAGCCTAGGTCCTAGAAGTTGCAGGGTTAAAGGGTCGCCTCCCACCCTCCACTCTTACCCAATCCCGGCACGAAAGTGTTGAGGAAGAGACAGATGACAGCCACCGGGAAGGGCATGTAGGGTATGGCAGCGCGCAGGGGGCCCTTCTTCTCGCGAACCTGCACGACCACCCCGCTGGACGACGCCCCCCGGGGATCTGCCGCTGCCACAGCCGCCGCTGTTGCCGCCGTCTCGGCGTCTTTGTGCAAAGGCTCCATGGCTGGATGCGCTCTCCAGGAACCCGACAGCCGCCCAGGACACCAGGGCAGGCGACGGCCGGCTGCCGGCTCTGGACTGCGCGCTCTGCGCCCTGCTCAGGAGGCCAGTGCGCTCCGGGTGCTGCTGCGAGGCTGGCGGAGAAGCCCGCCCTCCCGCGCTCCACGCCCCCACCCCGGGCGGAGGGCGGGAGGGGCAGCGTGACACTCGGTGACAGCGCTCCCTTGCCCCTCCCCTCTGGGCCCCTTCCCCGCCCCCTCCACACCTCTCCGTTAAGACCATCATTCACCAGTTATGGAGACCTGGGCGAGCAAAGAAAGTACGAGGAGAGCACAAGGATGCTGGTGGTCCAGGTACTTGGAGGAATGGACGCGCCTCATCCTCCCACCACTGGTGAACTGAGAACCTCACTCAAGGTCCCCGAGAGCTGGGCGTACACTAGACTGATCCAGTTGGAAAAGCCTCTAGGTTGAGTCTCTCTCCTGGAATGTATATTAATGCTAGAGAGATGGGAGCTAGGAGGGACGCGTGGAGCCTGAAATCTAGGAAGTCTTCAGTTCACTCTGCGTTTCAAGTCACGGAAAAAAAAAAAAAAAAGCAATGTGTTTCAAGTCACAGATGATGATAGAACTGGAAGCAAGAAATGTAGCTTGCAGCTTTATAAACCCATGCATGTCTGCAAGAGCTGTTCCCTTCACGCGCCCACACACACACACACACACACACACACACACAGAGTCTCACATACAGACTCACGCACAGAGACGCAAAAAAGGAAAGGAATGCTCCCTTAAGAGGAAGCCGATAAGGGGAACCATGCCCTGACCAGTGTTGCGGGCCATCTGGGATGTTAATTACTGACTACCTGTGGTGAAAAGCCAGTACGGCCACAGCGCCTCCTGGTGTTGATAATACACCAGTGGGAACAAACAAAAGACCTTGGTGGGGCCCAAGCCCACCAATACAGAGCAGAATTTGGTCTTCTTAGTAAGACTCTTCATCTACACCTTAATACGTGAATCGATGGAAGTAATCTCCTCTGACAGGGCATGGTGCTTCACGCCTGCAAGCCCAGCCCTTGAGAGATGGAGGTAGCAGGTGCTCTTCCTACCAAGTTCAAGACCAACCTGTGCAAGACCACACGCCTAAATAGATACATATTTTAAAAGTGTCCTAGGAAAACTGCAGGATTGTGGTGATCACAATGACAGCACCATAGAGCCAGTGACAAATACGGTGGCTGGGATGTGCTGAAGGGGTTGAAGGCGCTGTGACCGAGACCTTCCTATGTAGCCAGCTGCAGGAGAGCTATCAATTACTAAGGCCTCTCCCAGAAACTGACACCTGCCAAGATTTCATGACCAAAGGAAACTACTGGCAGGTGTGTTTTATTTTAAACATTTATCAAAACATCCTCTGGTGGGCACCATTCTCAACTCTGAGCCACACTTAATACTCGCCTTAGCTCTGTGAAGTATTTCCTCTCACCCTGTTTTACAGGTGAAGCAAATGATCCATCAAGAGGCTGAGTAACTGCACAAAGTCATCCGTGACAATGTGAATCCAGAACCCATGTGCGTACATGTTATTTCATCTAAAGATCCAGAAACTCACCTCCAGTCTACGAATACTCCTTCATAGAATACCTGGACCTGCTTTTAGATCCTTTTCTCACTATTAGTCCTGAGGAAAAGGAATAGAGAGGAAAGAGATTTCCATTTCCCCAGTTTTCCTCTGACAGCCTTGTGGGCGCCAACACCTGGGAGCCGAGGGAAGCAGGGAGCATCCAGACATGAGCAGAGCTGGGGGCCTAGAGCTGCTAAGGTGGACAGGAAGCTGGTTAATGCTAAAGAGCAGAGGGATTGGGACTTTATTCCGTGATCTGGGAATCACTGACATTGTAAGTAGGCATAGGGCATCATATAAGTTCTATTTGTTCCTACTCTGCAACAAGTGACCCTCAGATGGAGCAGCTTGACATGGCTATTTTTTCAATGATCATACTCTGTAGTAAGAACACAGAAGAGGCAGTTCCGTCACACACACACACACACACACACACACACAGCCATTGTGTCCAGATCTGTGTCTGGATTCAAATGGCTGATGACTGTGACTGCTGGGACCACAAGATCCACTTCTAAAAATATTCTCGGGTCAATGACCTCAGTGAGAGAGCTTGAAAGCTGGCTCCTCTGGGGTGGCCATTCAGGTCGCCTCCATTCAGCGTCCCTATGACCTGGACTTTTTACATTTAAATTTGGTAGCCAGTTTCTAAACTGAAACTTGTGAGGGGTGTCCTCCTGAGAATACAGACGGTAGAGCCCGAAGAAGTATCGTACCCTCTCCTCCGGAAGTCACATCCCTCCACAGCAGCACACTCTGTTAGGGACCCGGTCACCTGCTCAGACTTAAATACAGGGCAGTCTACCTCTTGACGGGAGAAAGAGGGCCCAAGCTCTAAAGAGGACATTATAACTATGTCAACTGGGAAGACCACTCAGCCGACAGTGAGGAGTATGGTTAGAGCGGATGAGACTTAGGCCACATGCCCACTGGGACTGAGGGTAGGTGAGGAGGACTCTCCCTGACCTATAAGGACAGAGAATGGGAGAGACACCTCCCAAATGATAATTGGGCAGAATTAGCCGACAGAACGGAGCTACTGTGTTTGAGGGGCAGATTGCTCACTTCTCATTGCTAGGATCAAATTCCTGATGAGCAACTCCAGGTTATATTTGGCTTACAGTTTGAGAAGACACAACCTAAAATCCGTCGTGGCAAAGTGAAGGCATGGTAGGAGGACCCTGAAGCAGCTGGTTGCCCTGTTTAGCTCCTAAATCTTGCTGGGAAACGACTCCCCCAAAGCTTCTTCCTCAGGATCACACAAATCCACTTGCTCTTTTCACTGTGTGTCCCAGCCCTCTTCCCCACTCTCCTTGGAGTCTCTCTCCAGCACCCCCTGACCCATTTTCTCCCCAGCATTTAGCTTTTGCTCCTTTTCTATAACAAGCTGCCTTGCTTAGCCAATTACTTGCTGGCCCACTTAGCTCCTAATAAATCCATTAAGCTGTAATCAATCCTCAGTGCATCCTTAAGACCATCTCTCTTGATTAAAGCTGCTGGTGATTAAGTCTGAGGGTCTCTGTAATCACTGCTGATAACCTGAACAATAAGTCAATTTGATTGGCAGAAGAGAGGGAAAAAAAACACAACAGTTCGTCTAGCCAGGTCCTAACCATGCCTGCCATTTACCCTTCTCCTCCACCCCAAAGACTGAGGGTCAGGATCCCAGTACCTCAGAGGAAGCCGTCTTTGAGGTGGGCGAGAAGCCTGCAGAATTCTAGCCTCCTCAATGGTGAGAACGTCCCTCTTCCAGGTCTTGTGTCATCAATTTCTCTCTATCCACTTCCTAGCTCTCTTCCCTGTCACATACACACAAGCAGGGCAGCACTTTCTGGGAGATGCCAGTCTCTGAATTGGTCTGGAAATTCCCTGTGTGGTGTGGCTATTCTTAACACTACCAGAAGGGGACTGTAGGCTCCAGTGACCTGACCAGAGTGTGGACATGTGTGGAGAGGGGCTGCTAGGAAGCACAGACAATGAGTATACCCGGACATGGAAGGTCGGGTTCGCTCTCCTCCCCACTCACCAAAGCACCGAGTAGAGAGGGAACAAGGACACTTTATGGAGACAGACATACTACCTGTCCATCTCCCTCTCCTCTGAGCATCCTTAAAATGAAGCCTGGCTTCTACAGTTGTACCACCCTAAGCCCCAACTCCCCAACCCATGGCTAGCAAAGGCTGGCTCATCCCAAACACCAATCTGGACTGAATTTGCCCCCTCATCCAGGTGCCAGCCAATACAATGCCCTGGCACCCCACAATTCACTGACGACTTCTCAGAAGTAGTAGGAACCCAGAAGGAACAGAAGACTCTCTCCAAACAGAGAAAAGACAGGGGAAATAAAGGGGGAAGGGGCTGGGGGCAGGAAGAAAGGACACAACATAGGGAGTGCTTGCTTTTGATCTTGAAGGGCTTCTTCTCCACACCCCTAGGGTGGTGCGTCAGTCAGTTTTCCACCGCTGTAACAAAACACCTGAGACAGTAAGTCTGTAAACCGGTTGATTTTGGCTCAGCCCATGGTCAGTCTATCCTGACATTCTACCTCTTGGTGGGAGCGTGTGGTGGGACAGCCAGGCTAAAGAGAGCAGAGAGGGTGGAGTCTCACAGTCCCCTTTGAGAACATAGCCCCACTAACCTAACCACTCCTCCTAGTCTTACTCTTAAAGGTCCACCAGTTCCCTGCAGAGCCAAGCTAGGGACCAAGCCTTCGGCACATGGGCCTTTAGGGAAGACTCCAAATCCAATACACTGTGAGTTATATGCAGTTATATTCACCACCATGGCATTTAACTAAGCAAGCAATAGCCTACAAAACAAAGCAAGAAGAGCTAGGGATACCTCATCTGGCAGAGCATTTATTTGTCTGGTGAAGTACAATGAATAAAAACTCAGAGATAATATTGGGGCTCAACCTGAAGACCAGAAAAGCAAGCAGCCATCCATTGGCTCTTACTTCGACTTCAGTTTGAAAATGGTGATCCTGCCTCCAGGAAACCTCAGAATGAGAATGAGACTGAGAGTTGTCTCCTCCCATCTTAAAATCAATCCTCTCTAGTTCTGGATTAAGGCCATGTGCCACTACCACCTGGTTTCTCTGGCAAGCTAGTGTGGCTACTGGGATTAAAGGTGTGAGTCATTGCTTCTTCTGATCTGTAAGGCTGGCCAGCATGACTGTTTTACTTTTCCGATCTTCAGGCAAGCTTTATTTTTTAAAACACAAATGGAATGCCACGATAGCCTGGTGTACATAAGACCTAGGAGTTGACCCTAGTACTGCATAAGCCCAGAATCCCAGCACTTGGGAGGTTGAGGGAAGAAGATTGGGAGCTCAGAATTATCTTCTCCATTGCAGAGAGTTCGAGGCTTGCTTGGGATACCTGAGATCCTGTTTGAAAAACAGAAAATTAATAGAACAACAGCAAAGCCAACTGAGACAACAGGGACTGTTCTCTCTGTTATCCGCACATCCCCAAGGATGGGTCCGTGGAGACTAGTGTCCTCTTAGTGAGCTCCCTTCAAGTCTGTCCCTGCAGCCCCTCCCC